TGATGTTTTCCCATTATATTTAGATAGTGTTTGTTTGGGCTTTTGCTTTTTGTTTGTTTTCTGTGTGTTTGGGGGGTTGTGCTTTGTTGACACATACTGAAGCTCAGCATTCTAGAGTACCAAGTTGTGGAATAAAGTGACTAGCCTAAGTTACAGAATACTGCCCCAGTCCTGCCATGAGCTAGCTGTGTTTGTCTTTGGGCAAATCTTTCCATCTGTGTGGGATGACGTCTTTCTTTGGCAAAAATGATGGAACAAATTCATGACCTACTCTACAGGACAGGAGTTTTAAGGGATAATCCATCTCAAAAGGTACATAAATATATCACCATCATCATCATCACCACCACCATCACAACACTACCACTTCAAAGCATGTCATCAAGACGTATTTACTGAAAGCATTTGTATTTTAATTTCCAAAGGTGGGCAATAGTAGTTTTAAATAAAATTGCAAGTGAACATCCTTGATCCTTCTTGTACTTGTGTTGTTGATCTTCTCCTCTGATTCCTAGTAAACTAACCAACTCATTGCATTGGGTCTAGTCTGACTCATAGCAACCCTACAGGACAGAGTAGAACTGTCACCAAGAGTTTCCAAGGAGTGGCTGGTGGATTTGAACTGCTGACCTTTTGGTTAGCAGCCATAGCTCTTAACTGCTATGCCACCAGGGTTCCTGATTCCTAATACATATAAAAAATGTTCTCAGTTTAATACAAAATACAAGATAAGCAGGTGTTGGGCACTTCTACAATGTGAATTAAATGTTTTATCATTGTGTACTGTATAGAATTAGAGCAATGTTTACATGAAAAAAAAAAAAATACAGTGCCTGGATCTTGAAAACATTCCAAATATTTAAGAGCACTTTTTTTAAAAAAAATTTATGATAAAACAACTTGAGAGAGATCAGAGTTTTTGTTACTTATCTAATTAAGGTCTAGTATTATAGTTGTTTTTTTTTTTAAACTTCATCTGTCAAGGAAGGTTTCTGCCATGTAACTATAATTCTACAGAGGAAGAATACAATGAAGTATTTAAGACTGTTTAAAAATATCTAAATGTGTATAAAAATAGGAGTTACTGGTGCCATGATTACTAAGGATATTAATGGAATTCTTAAATGATGAATTTTTGGTACAGTTTTTGTTATTTTTTCTAATCCTAGAATGCATTAAGGCTAACTTTGGTCAATTAGCAACAATGCTTGGAATCTGGTAGCAATTTTATTTAATTAGAAAAATCTAAAATTTTTAGGAAAGTGGTTGATTTAATACACTATAAATTGAATAACTTACACACAAATATGGGGAAATATTTATAGAGAACTTATTATGTGCCAGGTTCTGTTCTAGCTTCTTACATATTTTATCTCATTTAAGCCTCATTGACACCTATGCAATTGATACCGTTGTGTTTCTGTTTGACAGTAGAGGAAACTGAGGTTAATGGACTTGCCCCAGATTACCCCCCTTGTAAATGGCAGAGCTGGGCTTTAATTCAGTCAGCTGGATTTCAGAGTTGAGATTCTTACCCCCTCTGCCAACTCCAAATCAGTCTACAGTAGTCCACAGCTATTAAAAAGGGCTTGTTAGGTGCTGCCAAGTGGATTTTTCACTCATAGCGACCCTATGTGACAGAGCAGAACTGCCCCAATAGGGTTTTCTAGGCTGTAATCTTTATGGGAGCAGATTGCGAAGTCTTTTCTGCCACGGAGCAACTTGGGTTTCAATCACTGATCTTCTGGTTAGCAGCTGAGTGCTTAACCATTGTACCACCAGGGCTCCTTAAAAAGGACAAAGCTCCATATATTGATAAGGCATCAATCTCTGAGGTAAATCATTCCACCTCCAGGATAGATTGTTAGGAGAAAAACAAGACGTAAGATGGACAATGTGTGTAATATGCTACGTCTGTCTTTTTAAAGACAATTATATGTCTGTTAAGAATCCTTGGTGGCATAGTGGTTAAACAATTTGCTGCTAATTGAGAGGTAAGTGGTTCGAACCCATCAGCTGTTCTGCTGGAAAAAAGACCTGGCAATCTGTTCCCATGAAGGTTACAGCCTAGGAAGCTCTATGGTGCAGTTCTGATCTATCCTATAGGGTTACTATGAGTAGGAATCGTCTCGACTACACGTAACAATAACATATGTATATTAATAAATTATCCTTTGAAACTCTTAAAGGTTGCCTTTAGTGAGGAGGCTTGGTTACGACTTGTCTTAGTTTCCCTAGCACTGCTGTAACAAACTGTATCTTAAGTGAGTGATTTTAAAGAACAGAGCTTATTTTCTCACAGTTCAAAAGGCTAGAAGTGAGAATTCATGGTGTAGCTCTAGGGGGAGGACCTTCCTTGTCTATTTCAGCTTCTAGTAGCAGCTGGTATTACTTGGTGTTCCTGTCTCTGTCGTTGATCTTCTTCTTCCCCGTGTGTGTGTGTCTGTGTCTATTCTGGTCTTTTTATAACTCAGAAGTGATTAGATTTAGGATCCTGTCTACTCAGGCATGACCTCATTAGCATAACTAAAGGAACCCCCTATTTCCAAACAAGGTCATGTATACAGGTACCACCAAAAACCAATCAGTTGTAGTCAAGTCAGTTCTGACTTCGTGGTGACCCCATGTGTGTCAGAGTAGAATTGTGCTCCATAGGGTTTTCAATGGCTGATATTTCGGAGGTAGACCCAGGCCTTTCTTTCAAGGCACCTCTTTGCTTTGGAGGCATCGTGTCTTTAGAAGCATCATGTCTCTTTGTTTATTTTAAACCACATGATGCGGGACATTAATACCACCTGAGAAAGAAAACTAATCCAGGAAATCTGGTTTCTAGGTCTGACTGTCCCGCAGATCCTTCTCAGGCCTCAATTTTCTCAACTATAAAATGAGGAGAATGAACAAGCTGCCTTTCAGCTGGAAAAACCAATAATTCCAAAATAGCATTTAAATATTAAATGTTAAGTGCACAGTTAAAGCTAAATGGGCTCATCAAAAAAGCAGCCATCCTGAATTTTAGTGGACAAAAAGGCACATGTCCATCCTGAATGTTACCAGTTGGTGGCAGCATGTTGAAATTGCATTGAAAGTTACCAAGAACAGGCAATCACACCTTGGTGCAAAAACAGAATATCTTCCCAAGTATAGTTATAACCACTGCAGAGGTATTTCCCAATATATTAGTGTTGTTAGGTGCTGTTGAGTTGGTTGCAACTCATAGTGACCCTGCATACAACAGAACAAAACACTGCCCGGTCCTGCACCATCCTTACAATCATTGCTGTGCTTGAGTCCATTGTTGCAGCTACTGTGTCAGTTGATCTCGTTGAGGGTCTTCCTCTCTTTTGCTGACCCTCTACTTTACTAAGCATCATGTCCTTCAGGGACTGGTCTCTCTTGATAGCATGTCCACAAAGTACGTGAGAGGAAGTCTTGCCATCCTCGCTTCTAAGGAACATTCGGACTACTTCTTCCAAAACAGATTAATATATTAACAGAGGTGTCAAAATTAAATACAATGTAAAATCAAGACTAATCATTAAACTATTCCAAAGAGTCTTATATAACTGACCTATAGAAATCTATCAAGCATAGATTGTTCAGAATTTACTAGATTCTTGGATTGGATGAATTATAACAGAGGTTGGCAAACTTTTTCTGATAATAAAAATTTTATGCTTTGTGGGCCATAAAGGTCGTTGGGTGGCACAAACAGTCTGTACTGGACTACTAACCTAAAGATTGGTGGTTGGAAACCACCCAGTAGCTGTACGAAAAGCCTAGTCATCTGCTTCCATAAAGATCACAGCCAAGCAAACCCTATGGGGTAGTTCTACTCTGTCGCACATGGGGTTTGCCATGAGTCAGAATTGACTCAATAGCAGAGGTTTTTTTTTGGTGTGCTATAATGTCTGTTACAGCTACTCAGATCTGCTATTGTAGTGCAAAAGCAGATTGTAGACATTATGTAAATAAATGGGCATGGCTGTGTCTAAGTAAAATTTATTTATGAAAACAGGCATTGGGTCAGATTTGGCCCATGGGTCATAGTTTGCTGATTCCCAAATTATAGTAAATTCCTGCCCCAAGTTTCTCCTTGCACTGTACCCTCAGATAACTTACCTGATTTGCTTCTCTAATTCCTAAATGTGGGAATAAATGCTTCCACTCTACAGCCCTTTACGTTCAATCATTCCTTTAAGAGTAATCTGTTTTGCATATGTTACATTCTGCTGCACTACCGTGATACTAACCATGTTTTAGTTTTCTAAGTTGTATTTTTTATTCCTCTTTACTCTGAATTGCTGTTTCCTGAAGACAAGCACATACAGTTGTTTCTCCTGCATTCCCTACCTTATATTACCATCTTCACATGATTTCAACCTTTAACCTGGAAAATCTTTTGCTCAGATATCTTTTGTATCTTGGGAATTATGGTCTGCCTTCCTTAAAATCTTTAGGACATGATTGGTTAACCTCTTGCTAAACGCGTTCTTCCCCTTCTTAAGTGAAGCTCAGCCACATTTAACAAGCCACTCTTCTCAATCAATGAACAGTCCAGGCTCTGGAGATAGAATTAGTCTTGGCAAATTACTTGCAAAGATAGATGCTGGCCTCTGGACTTAGTGAATCCCTGGAGAGACTCTTGCCTTAGACAGGAGAATTGAAAACAGGCCTTACCTGCATAGTAATACCTGGCTCCAATCCTGGGCAATTCTCTACCAGCCACAACACAACTCAAAACCCTGTCCTGTGTCTTGAAGTACCATCCAGTGTCCATTCTTTCTTCCAAGTTCTAAAACCTCACCTGCCATGGGTAAACTTGATGTTGGCAAGGCTTTTGACTTGTATGCATGAAGGCTAATAGATTATTGAGATTTACTAGATGCTTTAAATTCATTGCTTTTCCTATTCAGCAATTTAGCTATAGCCCTGGATAAAGGTGATTTGTGTGATCCATCTTGCTTTATGTCTCACTTGACGTTCTGCCTTTTTCATGACAGGTTGCTGAATGCTATAAAGCCAGGACTTGTTAAAAAGATCAATAGATTGCCTACCCCCATTGCAGGATTGGTGAGTATCCAGAATTGAGATTTATTTTCCAATATTCCTTTGCTCTAACCTAAGGGTCATGATGCTTCCATTTATTACAGTTTTCTCCTGCAATACATATTTCACTTGAATGAGAACGCATTGAATCCATTAAACTAAGAGATCACTTAAAAATGAAAAATTGCAGTGATGCCTAAATGGCAGCTTAATCTTTGTTTGCATTTTTCCCGTAAGTGATAAGAACCTTCATTCTAAAGAGGTAAATTTGTTTTGAGGTGAGAGGCTGATAATTAGGTTGTCCCCGGGGAAGGAATGTGATTGTAATTATGGTTTTCTGCTTTCAGTTCTTCATTGCATTCCCCTAGACTGGGAGTGGGAGGTGGGAGGTAGGAGAAAGATTTCATGATTAACCAGCAGCACTTTCATGTAAATTGCTGTTTTCAATCTTAAAAATCTACTTTGTGTTTAATTACCACATTTGTAGACCAACTACTGTGTTCGAAAGACATGGAGTACTAAGGAAATCTTTTTTTTGTGTGTGTGTGTGTGAAAATATACTCAATAAAACATAAACCCATTGAACAATTTTTACGTGTGCGTGTCAAGGACAAGTACTAAGGTGATCTTAATGTTGCCTGGAGAACTGCTTAAGGAAAGCCATTACCCTCTGAACCTACCCGTGTAAAACGGATAAAGCTAATGTGGTGAGAAGCAGGTTTTTTTTTTTTTCCATGCATTAATGTAGTTCATAATTATTGGCAACTTATTTTAATTGCTTGAATTAGTGTGGCCTTTTGTGTAAAGAAAGGAAAAAGGTTGACAATTAGGAAGACAACCAGTTCTTAGTTCTGGAAGGAACTTGATGCACACATGCAGCTGCGTGTGGGTACACACACATGCATACACACACATACACACACACACATACACACACATACATACACACATGCACACACACATGCATACACACACATACACACACATGCATACACACATGCACACACATACACATGCACACACACATGCACACATGCATACACACACATGCACACACACGCATACACATACATACACACATACACACACATACACACATACATGCATACACACATGCACGCACACACATACAAACATGCATACACACACATGCACACACACATGCACACATACACATGCACACACACATGCACACATACACATGCATACACACATGCATACACACATGCACACACACACATACACACACACACATGCATACACACACATACACACACACAGAGCTGAGGATGTTGGCCTGGTAATGACTGACTGTTTCCATTGTAACCGCCTTTTGTACGTGTGGTTTTACAGAAAACAATTAGAAAACTGTCAAGAATTTAGGCAGGATCCTACGTAGACCTTACTGATTGTTGTTCACAAGCTTCTTAGCCACATCATGATGACTAATTGAAATTAGATGTGACAAAAATTCAATTGTGTTTGAGAACTGTGGCGGTCGTGGTGATATGGTGTATGGTTTCAGCAAGTTGAAATGAAATGGATGTTTTCTTTATTTTAAAAATTGCTGTTTCTGTGGATGCATTTTGTTTCCCTTTCTGGTTAGTAGTGAGTTGGTGATTCGTCATTAAAAATCCTTCCAATTTTATTGGCAGTCATGTAGCCAGTAAGCTAAGTAAATAAAATAAATAAATAAATTTGGAAGGAATGGATTTGAGTAATTGAAAACTAAAGAATACATGTGTATTGTATCATACATATTAAAACATATATATATATTATTTATTTTAAAATGTTATTAAATGAATTTCTTCCCAATGTTAAAGCCATGGTCTTAATGCCCCTGACAAGTATCTGTTTGGCCCTTCAGCTTGTGGCATCGCCTGACCTTGGAGTTCTGGGATTTGATGTTATAGGAGTGACCCAAACCAAAAACCAAACCTGTTGCCGTTGAGTTGATTCTGACTCAGGGCGACCCTATCGGACAGAGTGGAGCTGCTCCATAGGGTTTCCAAGGAGCTGCTGGTGGATTTGCACTGCTGAACTTTTGGTTAGCAGCTGAGCTCTTAACCACTGTGCCACTAGGGCTGCTGAAACAATTTAAAATGTGAATCATAAATAATTTTAGCAACATGAGGTTTGGGACACTTGCATTTATTTTTGTATGGTTTCTTAGCGCAGATCAATTATTGTTCTTTACATATATGACTCAACTTTGGGAGCAGGCAGACAGTTTGATGCAAGAAAGCAAGGGGGACTCCGTTGCTTTCCTTCCATCTATGTACTTGACTTCCTCCTTTTTCTTTTTTTGTCTTGAATTTCCTTTCCACTTTTTTCATCCTGTTTTCTTTTGTTCTCACCCTTTTGCAGCTAACACTTATTCACTTATTTTCATCCTATATCACATATCTTCTTTACCAATTTATTATCTTTAGTCCAAAAAACACTTTCCTGTGTAGAGTCAGTTAGTGCCCATTCACTAATGATTCCCAAATCTACAAACCTGCTCAAACCCATTTATTGTCCCCCAATTACCTCCAAGTCAACATTTCCCAAAACCAGTGTACAATTTTGGCCCCTGGCAGGAAGCAGAACCCTCCCCCTATTATGTTAATGTTCTGCCAGGGTTCTCTTGTCAGCCTTTCTGCATTTGTGTTCCTCTCTGTCTTCATGACTTCAAGTCTTCTTAACACTGACTCCAAATCATCATTTCTAGCCAAGTCCTCTCTCCTGACCTCTAGACCTGTTGTCCTGCCTATTGCACTTCTCCATCTGGAAGTCCTACCAGCACCTTGAACTCAGCATATTTAAGTGGGACTTAAATGACCACATCCCTCCACCTATTTCCCAATGTCAGTGAAGGCATCATAGATGTGCAGTTGCCCTAGTTTAGCCAGCTGAGAATTTGGCAACTTTCTCCAATCTGTCTGCTTGTCTGCATTTCCTTGGCTGCTGCCCTAGAGGAGGTCATCCTCATCTCTTGCCTGGGCTATTACAGTTGACTCACAGTTCTCCAAACACTATTCACTCCCATGTGTGATGCCTTTTCTCATGATACTTCTTGTGCATGCAATACATTCCTCCTGTTCTTCATGGCAAAATCTTATCCACTTATCAAGATCCAACACGAAACCCACCTCCTTTGTTTATAGTCTGTTGTGATCTTTTATTGGAGTCCTTGGATGATACAAACAATTTATATTATTTCTTACCGTAGATCAGATGTTATTCTTTACACATTGCTTGAGTACTAACCAAAAGGTTGGTGGTTCAAACCCACCCAGAGGTGCCTCAGAAGAAAGGCCTGGCAATATGCTTCTGAAAGGTCACAGCCTTGAAAACCCTATGGAACACAGTTCTACTCTGAAACATATGGGGTCTCCATGAGTCTGAATCAAGTCTACAGCAACTGGAGGAAAAAAAAAAAGTTTATTACAGAATACAGGTAGCATCTCTGGGCATAGGAGAAAATAAGTTAATATACTAGCAAGAGAAGAGTTAGCTGTGTTGAAATATGCTTTGGGGAGTAAGATTTTGAACAACTGTTGAAATTAAAGGTTTATTAATTGTTTAGTACTCATGTTAAGACACTGTGGCTTTAAGCAGTTACTTGGCTATGATCAAGCTTACCAATATCTATAATGCATCCACACATCACTGGGTTCCTTGTGATGCAGTGAGAAATTAATCATCTTGATAGAGTTCCTGCCAAAATATTTAGCCTAAATCCATCCTGATGAAACAATCAGACAAGTCCAAATTGAGGGACACTGTGAAACAATGGGTCTTCACTATTTAACAGCATCAGTGTCGTTAAAGACACCCACATTCCCAAAAGCCTGGAAAACTGTTCTAAATTGAGGGTGGTTAAGAAGATATGACAGTCAAATGCAATGTGTGATCCTTGAATTGATCCTTGATTGAGAAAAAACAACTGTAGTAGACATTATGGAAACAATTGGGGAAATTTGAAAGGGATTGAATACTAGATAATGGTATTCTCTCAGTGTTGAATTTCCTGAGTGTGGTAACTGTCCCGTGTATGTTGGAAAATACCCTCGTTCTTTGGAGACACATGCTAGATTGTTTCGAGGTGATGTGTCATGTGTGCAACTAATTCTCAAACTGTTCAATAAAAAGAAAAGTCTTTGTCATAGACTGTGCACACAGTGTACAATTTTATATACACATACACAGAGTGAGAGAGAGAGAAAGGAAATGTGGCAACATGTTGGACCTAGATGAAGAGTAGGAGCCCTGGTGGCGCAACAGTTAAGCACTCGGCCGTTAACTCAAAGATTGGCAGTTCTAACCCACACAATGGCTCCAGGGAAGAAAGACCTGGCAATCTGCTCCCGTAAAGAGTACAGCTTAGAAAACCCTATGGGGGCAGTTCTACTCTGTCACATGGGATCACTATGAGTCAGAATTGACTCAACGGCACCTAACAACAACAACAGATGACAAGTACACAGGTGTCATTGTATTATTCTTGCAACTTTTTGGTAGTTTGACATCAAAGAAGTAGTAGATTTGAAGATGGGAGAGGTGTGGGTCAGTATAGATGCAGACTTTCTGTGTGAGTATATTTTTCACGTGACACCTTCTCCTCCCTGATGCTCCTGATGCTCAGGACTAAGGACAGACAAGAGAATCCCTCAAGAGATCAACAGAATTCTACGCAGGTTTGGACTTTGTCAGGGGGTTGACAGGCCACTGACCATCTATTGATCAAGAAGTCGGCAGTAGCAGAGGCCCCGGAAATCTGGGAAGCATGGCCAGAGGGGTTTCCATGCCTGGAATCCATGCCTGTATGTCTTACTGGCCTGGTGTTGAGAAGCCAATCCATTAAGATGGCCAGCTGCTTGACTTGAAGATAAATAGAAAAGTGTGTTTTCACATAGCAGTCCCAAATTATAAACACATGGAGATTTACAAAGGCATGAATAGGTATATTTTAGCTCCTAAGTTGAGCTGTGGTTACAAGGAATTCAGGGGTGAAGGTGTTAAAACAAAGTAGTTGA